GCAAACTCTAGCTCAAAATCCTTAGTTCGTCTCTCAAAAATAATTATCTGTGTCAGTAAACATGTCAGTGCCATAAGAATGAAATTCCTCATGTCATTGTGTATGGATAAGACAGTCAAATTGCTTGGTCATGTTATCTATATAAGAGAGCACTCTGAAGGGATGTTCTGATGTAAACCATAGCTACAGTTTTTATTACAATTATATTAAATTGTAGGTTGCAACTTAATGTATGTGGGAATTTGATTGGAAGAGAATGGACAAGATTCGCATTTATATTTTTACTGTTTGCACTGTAATTTGTTGACAGATCATGTCACTGTTTTTACAGAAAGAAAAAGAGCACTGCATAGCACAAACAAAAAAAAAAACTGAAATGTAGACATAGGACAATATTGTTAGGAAAAACATGCAGTTGGAATTACAGTGCAGTTTTCTTACACCTTTTGATCATACCTGCCAACAGTCCCGGGAGTCTTTCGTATATCAGACTCATCTCCCGCTACCCTCCCGTTTTGTTATTTCTCCTGGAAAATTTCCTTAATTTAATTGGCCATTGTCGTTTGCGTAGACGCCGAAAGTCGCTCACTCTCCATTGCGAGTCGCTCATAGTGTGAATGAGGCTATAGACGGAGGTTGCCGGAAGTCACTCTATTAAAATGAATGGTTCAAGTTTCTTATTGTAAACAAACAAAAAAAAAAAACAGATACTGCTCTCCGTGAATGTGCTCTCTTGTTTCAGTTGGCTTTTGTCCGTTTGGTGTGTTTATGGGCAGCTTTATGGTCCAGACGCAACCAGACAGGAGCCTATGTAAGGCAAGCAATTAAGCAATTAATAATGTAGGAAACAGCAGACAATTGAGCACAATCATTTCCAATGATGTACAAATGCAACTGTAACTTGTTAAAAGAAATTCTGATTAAGTGTTCAAAGAAACTTTTTTTTATGTGCGCATGTGACACAATCGATGTGAAGATTAAAGTTAGTTTTGCTAATTTCAATTCTAATCTGAGTAATGTACCAAAGTGATTGAGAGTAAGTGCAAAATGTTGTGGATTGAACCACTTTATTATATATGTATTATGTAGTGTGGCTAAACTCCACCCCTACAACAATGGCTGCTTCTACATCACTGCCTGTTTAGCTCCGCCTAAAGTTTTGTGGAGATAAATACTAAGAGAGGCAAATGTAGGTTTACAGACACCAAACAATAAAGCAGTGTCTTATTGATCTGAGTACAACAAGACACTGCAATTACAAGTTGTGGAAAAGCAAAAAACTTTTATTACCCTTCCAGCAAGCATTTTTTTGTTTTTAAAAGATGCCTAATAGATGTCTACTATACATCTAAACAGTCAAAGTAGGCTAAATTTGGGCTGTCAGTGAAAATCTAATAGACATGTAAGAATAGGTCAAAACTAGTCGTCAAATAAACAGAAATGAATGACTACACATATAAAGTTTAATCTGTCTATTTAATGGCTAGTCTAGTTTTGAGCTAGACGTCTATTATGTTTTCACTGACAACTCAAATCTATCCGACTACGATTATGTTTAGACATATAGTAGATGTTTAGCATTGTTTTAGCCAAGCTGTCTACGTTTAGATGTCTATTTGATGTCTATTAAACATAAAATTGTTTGCTGGGTTGCAAAAAAGAAGAAATTAACCTTAATTTTTAGAAGTTCTAGACTGCACCAGTAAGAGCTCGCTCATTTACACCAGTAAGAACTTGGTCATTTGTTAGCATTTTTACCACAAATGAGTTTGCACACTAGAGTGAAACTAAGATGATATTGTGCTGACTAAGTTAAATCAGTAATGTTACACCACACAACACATTTGATGTACTCCTTACATGCTATTTATGTGATTTTAAACTAAACCATGTAGGTCTACATTTTTGAAGGATGCAGCTAGTCAAATGTACATCCTAAAGTTGGTGGGCTAAAGCTGTTCTTTCCTACTTTGAGGCCTAATTTTATAGGTAAATAATCATATGAATGAAATGAGTTAAGTTTTTTTTTTTTTTTTTTGTTATTGTCAATGTGTGTTGTTTAATGTCTTTTATTTTGTCTAGTACTGTTTGTATGGGAAGTTGCCTACACTTGCCCACTGCAGCCTTACTTCTCTATAGGCTGGAACACATCAAGCTGACGGCTGTCTGTTGGACTTTGTTGGTTTGTCGGTCAGTGTTAGTCCAGCTAGTTGGTTTGTTGTTTTCCACACGTTGCCTCTCATCAAGTTATGTGAGAGCTTGTTGGCTTGATTCAGCATGTAGAATCGATGTGGGTCGTCAGCTGAAGAGTAATCTGACTGGTTATTCAGCAACGAATCAGAGTGCAAGTGTGACTTAGTGAAGAGATGTCAAGAAGGAACACAAAGAGGCTGCTACCTTTCTCAAATATTTGCAAGCTATATGATTTATTACATTATCAGACATTTGCTGGAGCAAATCCTTGTGCGGTGAGTGACAAGTACTAGGATAATGGTACCGAACTTTACTTTATTTACCCTTTGCAAGCATGCGTCAAAGGTTCAGGTCTGCCACGAACAACAAAAAACACTGCCCTCTGCAAATACACTCTCTCGTTTTAGTCTTTTGTCCATTTGGTGTGTTTGTGGGCAGCTTTTTGGTCCAGACGCAACCAGGCAGGAGACAACATGAGAACACAGTTGGGTTTGGTCTGCTCTAGTTGTTTGGTGTAGGCCTATGGGTGTAAATCAGCCTCAGGGTATTAAATAAAGTGACCAACCAGCCAACAAATTATGATTGTTTTCAAATCTACAATTCATTGCTAGCTTAGGTGTCAACGCTGAACTTGTCTGTTATTGTTTCACAGTGTGAGAACAAATTATTTTTACACAACAACAATCTGCAGAAACAGAAAAAAAATATCATAGGCCTACAGACAACAGTCTGATTTCATGTGAAAACATAAATATTTAATGCAATTAATGGTTTTACAGTTTTAATAATGTAAACAATAAGATTAATGCTAAAATCAGTAGGTCATGACAATCCTTCTCTAAGTTAAGTTCATCATCTTTCAAATATTTTTTTTTAAATAGTACAAGACTTGTGAATGACTTGATTTGTAGATTTATTCAACTTTAAATCTTATTCAATTTAAGGCAGCAGCTATTTTTTGTTAACTATAGGTGAGTTTTAAGATGCAACTATGTGTTTGAGTAGTCAACATGAAAACAATGTATAGTTTTAACAAAGGCTCATTCTGAAAATTGTAGCCCTATACGTTTCTGGAGATCGCAAATTATGTAGAGAGAATTATGTATTGCTGCATTTTGTCTCTCAAATGAACGCTACGTCATTTTTTTTTTTTTTTTGCTTATTCTTATTGCTTTGTTTGCTGAACTTTATTTTTCTTCTCTCTTTTTGTTTCTTTTTTCTTTTTCTTCTACTCCTCCCCTTCCTTTTTCTGTTTGATTTTATTTATTTTTTATTTTTTTTATTTTTATTATTTTATAAATTTTTGTTTATTTTTATTAGTTTATTTTCTCTTTTTTATTCTCTTTCCCCTTCTACTTACTACTTACTACTATTATTATTATTTATTATTATTATTATTATTTATTATTATTATTACTTGTCCTCTCCCTGATTTCCCATCCTCCCCTCTCCTCGACACCTTTATCATAAATGGTATTACTTTTATTTTTTGTAATCATTATTATTATTACTGTTCTGACTTGTCCGGTTATCTTTCCATTATCATTATTACAAGTATTTATACCATTATCATTAGTAAGGTTGCAGTTGTTGTAGTTGTAACGGTAGTAGTTGTAGTAGTTGTAGTAGTTGTGTTAGTAGTAGTAGTTGAAGTAGTAGACATTGTAATAGTATCAATTGTTATTGAGTAATTGTTACGGAGATTATTGAAGTAGTAGTTCATGTAGTAGTAGATGTCATTTGTATAGTAGTAGCAGAAGTAATAATGGTGTGGTTGTTACAGTAGTAGTAGTCGTTGTTGGTGTAGCAATATCAGTAGTAGATGTTGTTGATGTAGATGTAGTAGAAGTGATTGTGGTGGTGGTAGTAGTAGTAGTAGTAGTAGCAGTAGACGTTGTTGTATTAGTTGTAGCAAACGCTATAGTAGTATCAGTAGTGGTAGTAGTATCAGTATTAGTAGACATTGTAGTAGTAGTAGTCGTGGTTGTGGCTGTAGTAGAAGCAGTAGTAGTTGTAATATAAGTAACTTTCTGTAGTAGTAGTTGGTGTAGCACTTGGGATTTATTATTATTGTTGTCATTTATAACTGTTGTCCTTTCTTTCTTTTTTTACTCTCATTTTTACTATCATACATTAATAAGCATTGCTGTTACTCCCTACCTCTGACTGGTTTCTTTCTATATGTCTTATCTATATCTGTGACACTTGCTTCATTTATTGACTGTTATTGTCCCTTATGTATGTACTCTGAACTGTCCACCAAGTTACCTTTACATGCATACACACACTCACACGCACACACTCAAGCACATACCAGTACATGACTATATTGTTGTTGTTTTTGTTTTGTTTTTGTTTCGTTGCTTTGTATTTGTTATTTGTTGATGTTTTCTTGTATTTGTATGGTTTTTGCATATTCTAATAAAAAAAAAAATAATAAAAAATGAACGCTACGTCACGGTATGATGACATTCCTTTTCTCGCTTACCAGCTGACTGCTTACCTATATGTGGACGGCTTTCCCACTGTGGTGAAGAACGGTTCTAGAAACCGGGTAAGACAAAACAGAAGCCAAAAAATAAAATAACAAGTAAATAACAGGGTGAGAATGTGGTAAAATCTGTAAAATGTGGTAAAAATCGGGTGAGGGCTTTTCATTTTCTGAATTACTTTTCAAAAAACTGTGATTGGGTTTAGGGAAGGGGTGGGTCAATAGGTGTTTTTAAAAACACTATTGGCTGGGTTTAGGGAAGGGGTGGGTCGATAGGTTCTTTTAAAAGCAATATTGGTTTGGGGAATAATATAATTACAACAACTACAACAATGTACTGCAGTTTGCTTAAACTATGGAGATGTACAAGCTTTTGGGCGTACAGCATGTGGTCTTATATAAAACCAGCTGTGGAAAAGACCTAGAGAAGCTTCTGAAATATTATGAATCAGAAGGGATATTGGAGATTGTTTCTTGGCCTATCAATAAGTTTCTGAATCCATCCTCCGGCTGGAATTTTCAGGAACATAAGGGTGATCTCCATTATTATGGTCAGTTAGTAACACTCAACGAGTGCATCTACAGGCACATGTATCAATCCAAATATGTTCTACTGAATGACATTGATGAGATCATCATGCCGTACAAACACACTAATTTACAGGCCCTTATGGAGTACCTCCAGTCTACTCACCCTGGTGCAAGTGTATTCCATGTTAAAAGCCATTTATTCCCCACAACACAGTTTGAGGAGAGCGGGAAGTTCAAGCGAAAAGAATGGAATAATATTCCTGGAGTAAACATCATGGAGCATATCTACAGAGCACCAGAACCAAAGAACGTTTACAATCCCGCAAAGATGATCATAAATCCAAGAAAGGTGGAGCAGACCTCAGTACATTCCTCTTTGAAACATTCTGGATATTATTGCTTTGTAGCTTTTGATGTGTCTAGGATGATACATGTGAGAGAACCCTTTCAGAATGGTGCAAATCTTACAAAAGAGCAATTGTTGGTAGATAAAAGAGTCTGGGACTTTAAGCATGAACTGATACCCAATGTTGACCGGACTTTGAAACTTTCAGGTTTTTTAACATGATTTTACAAGAAGTATGCAAAATTGATCAATTGTAAATCAGAGTTTTATAACTATGAAGAGAACCAAAGTAAAGTTAAACTGATTAGTCCCGTATTGCCAACACAATCTCACGGCAATTCGTAACTTTTTCATTTAGTGGCTAATTCGTATGAATTCGTACGATCTAATTCGTACAATTTAGTACGATTTGCTTATCCCCCAATGACGGTTGGGGTTAGGGGTGGGGTCAGGTGCCACGCCTCCTTTTTAAACTCGTACCATTTCGTACGACTGAACTCGTACGAATTCGTACGAATTAGCCATTAAACTGGCAAAACGTAAAATACTTACGTTTTCTCGTGAGATCAGGCTGGTATTGCTGATATGCTGTCTGTCCCATTAAATTTTCTGTCATTGTTTGTACCTAGTATAGTTATGCTAACTCTACCCTTTTCCTTCTGGAGTTGTTCACAATCAATTGTTCACAATCTACAGAGTTACTTACAGTATGTACTACAGAGTTGTGCATACGTACTATACATGTACATACATACAACCATTGTTTATTTTCTTGTTTTCAAAAGGAGACATTTATATTTTTACTTGTCAACAATTAATTGTTCATAAAAGCAGTTTATTTAAATGTGTACTATTAGTAAACATCTTTACAACAAACAAAAATAAAAAACAAAACAAAAGTATTGATCTTATTTCGCCTTGGCATGTGTAAGAAAGCAATATTTTTCCCCTTTGCTTATTGGGAAATAAGGAATAATATTTGTTTGCTCTACAAAAGCATACATAAACGGCTAATTTGCAGATGTTTTTACAGTGTAATTTAAAATAGATGTGATATATTTCAACCTTAAAATAGAACGTGGATGCAAATCTATATCTATTATTAAAAAAACATTAATGAGGACATCACTCTAATAGTGTTTATTTGTACAGCTTTACAAGTTTTATACAGCTTCTCAAATATAGCTATGATGAGAAGGAGGGGGTATTGGTCGGTTGATCAGTCAGTCAAATAGTCAGTTGACAGCAGCCTCTGGTGGATTTACGTGAGAACAGCAGGCGCAAATGGCACTCGCAAGAAATTTGTGATCTGAAAAAGCATACAGAGCACCCTCTGGTAAATTTGCGAAAACAAAAATTACAAAAAACGTACCTTTTGAGACGTATTTTGCTCTTTGCAGAAATTTTTATAAGGGTACGTAATCAGAATGAGCCTGAGTTGCATACTTCATATGTTTATTTGCTATTCACATCTTAAAATGCACATAAATCTGTCCATGAAAGGATTGAGTTGGGTCATTCTGTTTTTTTATAACCTGATTTTTTAATATGTTGTTTTTGTTAAGTTTAAACAGCTTGTCTTTATACTGTAAATGATTTACATATAACATCTCACTTTTTTATTTCTTTAGAAAACATCCTTTTTAATATCTCACGAGGTCAACGTTTCTGTGCCAAGACAGACGATAACAGATACATAAAGACCACAACAACAAAAACTTATTTTGCTTTTGCAATGGCATCAATCACTACAAGTGACACAGTGAGTGCTATGACCACCTTGTATACACTGTGAGCTAATAATCAAGCTAAGAGGGCTGTTCCTAAGATATATGGAGATTTATGACTGCTGCTATCAAGGTGTACATTTTGTCCAGTTCCTGTTACCACAGGTAATGTTTCCTTCTTAACAGTCTAGATAGAATCATACATGTGGATATTTCCTGTTAAGCAATGGTGTCGTTGTGACAAAAGGTACTGTATCTCTTTTTCATCTTATTTGACCGTTTTTATGTAGCATTCTTCTTACAAGTTAAGAGTTTCTAAATATTTGCTAAAGCGCCAGAAGCTCATATGAACAGATATGAATTTTTAGGGACTTGTAACTGTTCAGTTGTGATCATTCTAACAGTCTAACCTTGATCACATTTCAATGATGTGTTTGTTAGATTTTGTGATGGTATACTAAAAAATAATTTACCAAAAAGTTTAACCCATTTTCATAATGGTGAAAAAAACCTTGCCTAATCCTAATCACACTTATTATTATGTATTCTTAATCTGGGTTTAATATATATATAGACTAGCTGTCTAATTTGGCCACAATTTGGCCATTTAGAACTTACTAGCTAAAACTAAAATGTCAGAAGTCACAGCTTATGAAACTTGTGCACCAAAATATTGTGTTATAATAGTAATAATAGTATTACGTGATCATAAAATTCTTTTTATGTGCCTTTCAAGTAAGTATGACCAACGGTTAATGTTTGTCACGGAAACCTAAAGGTTTCAAGAAGACATTTGGACATTTCTTTTTTTTTTTTTTTGTACAAAAGGTTCTGACAATGTGTTTTGGCTGTATAAGTATTAACTGTAAGCACAATGAAGCAGCCCATGTCAGACATCTCAAAGAAAAGAGATGACTGTTCATTTTTGAGATCAATACAGCAGTCTAATCACCATTCAGGCTAAAGTTCACTTCAAGATCAAACATCTTGAGTCAATGAGTTTGAATCACTCATTCACTCACTCTCATCCACTATCATTTGCTTAGTTCCTGATTTAACCACATTGGAATTAATTGACAATTAATCTGACATACACTAGCAGTCAAAACTTTGGGGTCAGTAGGATTTTTAAATGTTTTAAAATAAGCTTCTCCTGCTCACCAAGGTTGCATTTATTATCAAAAATACAGAAAAAATGGTAAAATAGCGAAATGTTATTGTACTATAAAATAACAGTTTAGTTTATAATTTAATTGAATAATTTATTCCAGTGATTTTAAAGATGAATTTTCAGCTTCATTACTCCAGTCTTAAGAGTCACATGATCCTTCAGAAATCACTTCAATATTAATTAATATTATTATCAATTATATGGAGATTTATGACTGATTTATGACTGCTGCTATCGTGTTGTCCAGTTCCTGTTAGACTGTTACCACAGGTATTGTTTCCTTCTTTACATTCTAGATATGATCCTTCAGAAATCACTCTAATATTACTTAATATTATTATTCATTCATCATTTTCTTTTTGGCTTACTTCCTTTATTATCTGAGTTTGTCACAGCGGATTGAACTGCCAACTTATACAGCATAAATTTTACGCAGCAGATGTAATAAATATTTAACAACATACATTTTTTTTAACATTTAATAAATGCTGTCTTGATGAACAGAATAATTTTCTTTAAAAAAAAATAAAAGCATAAAAAACTGACCGCAAACTTTTGACTGGTAGTGTATGTTTTATGTGGTTTAGCCACATCCCAGCTGAAACAATAGCCATACACTCTCTCATTTACACATACACTCATATACTACAGCCAATTTTGTTAACCAAATTAACCTATACCACATGTTTGTAAGGGAGATATTTAATCAAAACAATGATGTATTGGGAATTTATATTGCTTTAAAAAACATTTTGGTTTTAAAAATCTTCCATTTCACTTAATGAGTTTTTAGTTGAATTCTCTCCATAGAGTTTGAATGCAAGCATAAATACCATCAATTGAGGTTCAAAAATAGCTTATACTCATAAAATGCAGCTGTTTTTTTTTTTTTTTTTTGCAGCGATGCAAGCCATAGATGAAGTATATTGGGTTTTCACAAACAACAATACTCAACAAAAATACTACTTATTTTCGTGTAATACCCCAGTTCACAGGGTATGAATAAAATGTTCATGAGTTAAAGTGAAACTGCCGAACTGCGGGTAAAGTCACCCAAAACAACAGGATACTCTTACATGAAAGCACTTCACGTAAACACCTTAATTATATTATTGTCTATTAAGGCAAATAACTAGATTACAGATGTCCATATAAGAGTAGTCAGTAGTGTCTTCGAAGCAAGTGAAACATCCAGAAGGGCATCTTGCTGATTTGATTCAGAAGGGCATTTTTTTGTCAGACGGCTCATCTGTCAGGTATCCATCTGCACTAAACTATCAAAGTGAAAGTGATCATAGCTTGCGTGGAATAGACCCAGCTCCCAACCCAACTTTGAGAATAGATTAATGGCGATATTTTTTAAAATTGCGCGATAAGAGTTTTGCGTTAACGCAGCATGTGCTTTTGAAAACACTATTGGTTGGGTTTAGGGAAGAAGGAGGGAGGGTCAGTCGATCAGGCAGTTTTACAAGATGTATAGGCTATATGAACATTCATATGATGCAGATCACAGATTTTCTGACATTCATCTTTGCTTCAATCTACAGGAACAAAAGGGGAAGATGGATAAAAGCACACTGAAAATGAGTGTTGCTCTATCAAGCACCATTGTTATTTTTTTCACACTGCTTTTGGCATACACTGGCATTAAACCTCTTCACCCATACATGCCTCCTTTATATAAAGTTGCCAAAAAAAGTCTATCATCAATTACACCCATCGAAGATTCAGAGCATTTCATGGTGTCTGCGTTTATTGACCACAGACTGGGTGGGGCCATTCGAGTCATCAGCATAATCAAGAGAAACAGTCTTCAGCCACTTTACTGTGTTTACTGTAGCACTGAACATGACTGCAAAACTGTTGCGACTGAAGTCCAAGTACACACAGATCATTTTGGCTTCCCGTTTCACGTCGCAGATGTGATTTGTAAAGGCAACAATATGCAATATGCAAGTCGTGTCACCATCACAACTCAAGAAAACACATCCAACCTCAAGCTGAAGTATCTGCCGATTAATAATAAGGAGGTCAAAAACACTTTCAAGTTTAACTTCACTGTTTGCTTCTCCAGCCTTTTTGGAAACTACAACAATGTACTGCAGTTTGCTCAAACTATGGAGATGTACAAGCTTTTGGGCGTACAGCATGTGGTCTTATACACTGTAAACCCTAATGCTGTAACTAATTAATTGAGTTGAGTTCTATTAACTTAAATCATTAAAATTCGTTTATCTTAATTAACCTTGATGAGTATTTAGAACTTTTTCTTATTTTTGAGTTTGAAAAAATTTAATCTTTTAAGTAAGGTGAACAATTCTGCTGGGTTTAATCTATACAAAATGTCTCTTTAAAGTTTCATTAACTCAAATTCTGTCAGCCTAGTGATTTTGCGTCTGACGTCATCCAGGTTCACGTACGTGCTCATGCTTCATTCGTTTTTTTCAAGATGGCGGATCGGCCTCGCTTCACACTACAGTAAGTAAAATTTTTACAAATCCAAGAAATATTAAATGTATGTTTTAATTAATATAATCACAGTAACAGTTCAATGTAATGTAGAGTTAATCAGGGTGCGTTTACATGTCGTACATTACAGAAAACATGTTTAGCCTCACTTGTTGCTAACTAACGTTAACATTACTGTTTAAAAAGTTAGAATCAGTGCAATGTTAGCGTTAGTTGTAATGTGTTAACTCTGAATTTTAACAGAGTGTGATAAAGACAAAAAATATTTAAAATCGGCAGATTACATTTTTCAAAAAAATTTCAATCTTGGCGCGAGTATGCCTTTTCTCAGCCTGTGCTGAAGTTGTCATGGAGACGTGCGCTCTCACAACCGCATGTCATGGCGCTGCGCTGAACTCCATCCAGTGTGTGAATGTGGTATTATCTTCGCGATCTGTAGGCACTTCGGAAACGAAAGGCGCAAGAAACGTAACGTTAATCATAACTCAAATGATCTCCGCCTAAACACTTAACGGTATTTTCTGATGACGCGCAAAAACGTAGTCTCAAAACTTAACTCTGTCACACGCAGCTTGTTGCTTGCTGATCCATGTATGAGGATAGCCTGACGGAGAACATTTAAGCTGCGCTCCTCCCCTGAGCAGGTACAGAGCAGAGCTTCATTTTACACTACCACATTGAGGTAAAGTTGGTTTTATATTCATACATTCATTTAGTAACAACTTGTGACTCGCTCCATAAATTGTTTACCATGGTACTTTGTCTATTCGTTCTGAAATCACATGCAAGTATGACATGAAAACAACATTACACTAAATGCACTATTTTTTTTGACTGAACAATGTTGTACTTTGAAAGTCATTGGCTGCTAATATGATTTCACCATTAAGAATATGCAAAAATTACCTTTCTGAAATTACATTATTAAGGAGAAAGTCTGAATGTGTAAATATAAAACTAACTTTACCTCAATCACCAGCACTGATCAACACTTAATATTTCCTCGCGTTTAAGACGACATCTCTGCATATCAATGATTACCTGATTAATGCGATCAGTTAAATGAGTTTAAATGTCATTTAGGTCAAATGTATTTTAAAGGTATGATAAAAGTTTTTTTTTTTTCAATCTATTTTTTAAAATGTCTACTCTGGAGAGAATATAAACAGCCTAAAAAACAAAGTATGCATATCTATAACACATTAATACAAAATTATGTTATTAAATAAAATAGTAACAAAACAAAATATTCAAGAAGTGGTAAACAAGACAGTTTTCTGATGTGCAAATTTTGTAGCTTAAAATATATTTATATCTTAAAAATATAAATATTTTAGTCTATATATTTTTACATCATTAGACAGTAAGGTAAGTTTTGTTATTTCTAGCTTTTAAAATCAGGCCTTAAATTTCTTTGTCGTCCTATTCAGTTTTAGAAATTTCAATACTGTTTAAATTAAATCTGTGTTCATCGAATTAAAGCAACTAACATGATAATCAGCTCTATTGCTAACCGTTTTGGAGGTTAACGTTAGACATCAGGCAATTGTACTACTTCCACTCTCAGCTAAATGACACTGTGACTTTGTGTACATACAGAATTGAAGGTCAGGTGTTGCTGACTACAGATAGGTTCTTAAATGGAGGCATGTGAAAGGTGGGTAAAATATTTATTTTGTACTACTATGCCTGGCATATCCAGATAAAATAAATATTACAGTGTATTTATCAATGATACTTTTGCAGCAAGGAAAGTGAAACTTCAGCTAGACCTTGAGTTCAATTTACAACATGAAGATCCTGCTTTCAACATCTGATCAACACCTGATTTTCATCTGAGGTAAAAAATAGATAAGTAAATGAAACATAATAATAATATTAATACATTTTTTCTAGAATTGTATATTTTGTGGTGTGGGTTTGTTTTATGAAATTCTCTCTTGTTTCTTTTTGCTGTTTGCAGAGTACCAACATGTTACAAATGAGAATTTTCCCCACAAATTCTTTGCAAAACTGGACCACCACCTATTTCATTTGATGACAATTTTAAGGCAAACAGCATCCAAAACTGGCAAGACAGCAGATACCCTGGCTAATCTTTTAAAGGTTTATGATGAGCAGGTATGTTTGGGGTCACGTGTTAAAGTATACATTAAAATATAATTTGAATTATTATTATTTTTTTAATTTTTAAAAAATTGATTCTTGATTTCCAGGAACTGAATGATGTCAGTTCATGACGGACTACTGTTATCAGAGGTCTTTTGGTCTTGCTGCGTGAGCGTGACTTAAGATTCTTTAGGAACACCATGGTAAGACTTCATTCATTCTTTTCACAATTAGGCATGTTTAATGAAAAGATGAAAGTTTTGAAAACTTTTACTTAAAAACATATTTGTAATCAAGAATAGTTGATGAATCATATAATATTGGCTCAGTCATTTTGATACTGTCCTTACATTAATATCCTTGAATTATATTTTTAGATTGATAATCCTGCTGACTGAAGAAGCTTTATTGGCCCTGCATTCACTGAGGGTCTCTGTTGTCCTGAAGAATGAATTGGACACCACCCACAGCACACTTCCAGACCTTTCTTGTCTTGTATGGATTAATGTATGCTCTTCACATAATATATAGTAAAGGACTTTGAACTTGTGCAAAAAGTTTTGCTTGGCATGGATGATGGAAAATAAAAAGTCTCGTAGCATGGAAACCTTAAAGAATGAGTTAATGTAGAGCTTTTTTTTTTTTTTTTTTTAACTTTTAACTCTCTGGGGTAGTAACTTCAAAACATTTATTTACCTTTAATTGGTAAATATGCATTTTATTATATATAGGGATAGTTTGTCCAAATGTAAAATTCTGTCATTTACTAACTCTTCACTTGTCCCAAACCTGCTTGAATTTCTTGCTTCTGTTGAACACAAAAGTTAAGTAAAGCTGACAACCTGTAACCACTGACTTTCTAATAGGAAAACAAATACTGTGGAAATCGGTGGTTACAGGTCTCAGCTTTTTTTTTTTTTTTGGTCAAAAATAACCTTTTAAGTGTTCAACAGAAGAAAGAAACTCAAACAGGTTTGGAATAAGTAAATGACAGAATCATAGTTCAACCAAGACTGAATATATATATATATATATATTGTAACGAGCGCACACATGCCACGTCGCCCTGGTCGCTAATTCAACCCAGCTGGACCATCATCAACACAGGATCGTTCATAGCTGGACGTCATCAAGTGGAGAGGCATATAAACCAAGCCCACGCAAGGAGAAGATGAGCTTCATTCACCCAATGACTCCATGCGCTAACGCTTGTCTCTCTGTCTCTCCACAGCAGACTCCAGCTCGTGACAATCCCACATCCGACTACTCACTGTCCTTCACTTACTTCCCGGAGCACCAGAGCACCTCACCTTGAAGAAGAGCACCGTTTACACCCCATTCACGTTGTAAATAAAGCACCCTCCGGGGACTTGTCTGTAAACTTATCCAACTGTGTCGCTGTTTTCCCTCTGCCTCGCTACAATATATATATATATATATAATCTGCTCTCCGTTAAACAGAAATTGGGGGAAAAAATAAATGGGGGCGAATAATTCTGACTTCAACGAGATATATATATATACAGTTTCTGTGTAGTTTACACTAAACGAGTCACTTCACAGAATGTGCACTTATTATTTTTTTTAACGAATGCCTTAAGAGTAAGTTTTACACTTATTAATGTATTATTAAATTTTATTAAACTTATAGTTGTTTTTTCTTGAGGCTCTTATGTCTGATATCATATTTGCATTGTGGGTAATTTTTATCAATTTCAGAATAGTGTTCATTTTCAATCTCTTTATGTCTAATAGTTTTTATCGTTTTAAGACATTTGTAATTGCATAGGAGACAAATTTGAAAGTACTGTTGGACATTTTTTCTTTAACAATAAATGTCTAAAATGGTATTGTCTGTGTGTTTTAAATTACAGATTTATTTTGACAGATTTATGGGGTTTAAAGATTAAAATAATGGCTAATTTTATTTGTGAAACTGACGATGGAGAAGTTAATTTTAAATGCTATCAAAATGTATGAGCTGGGTGATTTAAGTATTTAAAGTTGAAAGAAATTAAAGCAATTAAGTTAATTGGTATTAAAATGTATGAGCTGGGTGACTAAGTATTTAAAGTTTGGAAAAATTAAAACAATTAAGTTAATTGCAATTAAAACGTATAAGCTGAGTAACTTGGGTATTTTAAGTTGAGTGAAGTGTCTTGCATGAGTACAACAAACTCAAAACTTAATGTTTCTGGTTACTTAAAATAGATAATTTCATAACTTAAAAAATTTGACGTAACTGATTACCTCAAATTTTTTGAGTTTTGTCAACTTATTCGGGATTACAGTGTATAAAACCAGCTGTGGAAAAGACCTAGAGAAGCTTCTGAAATATTATGAATCAGAAGGGATATTGGAGATTGTTTCTTGGCCTATCAATAAGTTTCTGAATCCATCCTCAGGCTGGAATTTTCAGGAACATAAGGGTGATCTCCATTATTATGGTCAGTTAGTAACACTCAACGAGTGCATCTACAGGCACATGTATCAATCCAAATATGTTCTACTGAATGACATTGATGAGATCATCATGCCGTACAAACACAATAATTTACAGGCCCTTATGGAGTACCTCCAGTCTACTCACCCTGGTGCAAGTGTATTCCATGTTAAAAGCCATTTATTCCCCACAACACAGTTTGAGGAGAGCAGGAAGTTCAAGCGAAAAGAATGGAATAATATTCCTGGAGTAAACATCATGGAGCATATCTACAGAGCACCAGAACCAAAGAACGTTTACAATCCCGCAAAGATGATCATAAATCCAAGAAAGGTGGAGCAGACCTCAGTACATTCCTCTTTGAAATATTCCGGATATTATTGCTTTGTAGCTTTTGATGTGTCTAGGATGATACATGTGAGAGAACCCTTTCAGAATGGTGCAAATCTTACAAAAGAGCAATTGTTGGTAGATAAAAGAGTGTGGGACTTTAAGCATGAACTGATACCCAATGTTGACCGGACTTTGAAACTTTCAGGTTTTTTAACTTGATTTTACAAGAAGTATGCAAAATGGATCAATTGTAAATCAGAGTTTTATAACTACAGTATGAAGAGAACCTGATAATAACTATGAAGTTAAACTGATTAGTCCCGTATTGCTGATATGCTGTCTGTCACTTTAAATTTTCTGTCGTTGTTTGTACCTAGTATAGTTATGTTAACTCTACCTTTTTCCTTTTGGAGTTGTTCACAATCAATTGTTCACAATCTACAGAGTTACTTACAGTATGTACTACAGAGTTGTGCATACGTACTATACATGTACATACATACAACCATTGTTTATTTTCTTGTTTTCAAAAGGAGAAATTTATATTTTTACTTGTCAACAATTAATTGTTCATAAAAGCAGTTTATTTAAATGTGTACTATTAGTAAACATCTTTACAACAAACAAAAATAAAAAACAAAACAAAAGTATTGATCTTATTTCGCCTTGGCATGTGTAAGAAAGCTCTTTTCTGCAATATTTTTAAAACCGTTTCCTTTGCTCATGGGGAAATTAGGAATAATATTTGTTTGCTCTACAAAAGCATAAATAAACGGCTAATTTGCGGATGTTTTTACAATGTGATTTAAAATAGAAGTGATATATTTTAACCTTAAAATAGATTGTGGATGCAAATCTATATCTATTATTAAAAAACATTAATGAGGGCATCACTCTAATAGTGTTTATTTGTACAGCTTTAAAAGTTTTATACAGCTTCTCAAATATAGCTATGATGAGACAAAATCATCTTTTAGTATACAGTTGAAGTCAGAATTATTAGCCCCCTTGTTTATTTTTACAAAATAGTTATAATAACTTATTTTTTAATAACTAATTTATTTTATCTTTGCCATGAGGACAGTAAATATTCTACTAGATATTTTTAAGACACTTCTTTGCAGCTTAAAGTGAAATTTAAAGGCTTAACTAGGTTAATTACATTCACTAGGCAGGTTAGGGTAATTAGGCAAGTTATTGTATAACGATGGTTTGTTTTGCAGTCTACTGAAAAAAATATAGCTTAAAGAGACTAATAATTTTGACCTTAAAATGGGCTTTAAAAAATGAAAAACTGCTTTTATTCTAGCCAAAATACAACAAATAAGTCTTTCTACAGAAGAAAAATATTATCAGACATACTGTGAACATTTCCTTGCTCTGTCAAATTTGGGAAATATTTAAAAAAGAGAAAACAATAATAATTCTGACTTCAACTGTATATGTAATGTATTAAAATAAACTTAATACATTAAAAAATATATAACATTTTAGGATAAACCAGTAATAATAAAATAATAATAATAATAATAATAATAATAATAATAATAATAATAATTTATTTTATAACAATGTCATATAAATTTAATAAATAAAAATATAAATATTTAATATATATCTCTCTCACTCCTCTCTCTCTCTCTCTTCATCCACTGGCAGGTTTAATCTGCTCCAGTAGTCTAGTCTGAATTAATGACAGTCCCATATTGCATGTTACATAAAGGCAGTCACGAGTAGATACTGCACAGTGCTAAGATGATCTGTGAACTCACCAAATGTCTCTCAATATGGATTAATTCATACAGTGCAGATGTAAAAACTACAAACCTGACTTATTTAAAAATAAATAAATATCTGCATTACAAGTCACAATGTGTTATTCTTCAGCATTAACATTTACTGTCAAAGAAATGACACATCAGCCTAAGTTACAGAAGAATAACAGCAGGAAAAAATGCCTCACCATAACCAAAATTTTTAAGTGTATACATAATAGGACTTAAAGTTTCCCCAGAAAAGGAAAATTCTGTAATTAATTATTCATCCTTATGTTGTTTCAATTCCCTATAGCTTTTGTTCTTCATCTGAACACAAATTAAGATATTTCAGATAAAATCCATGAGCTCTCTTATCCTTCATAGACAGCACTGGTTCTGAGATGGTGAAAGTTCAGAAAAGAAAACAAAAGACATTGTTTAAAACATTCAGTGGTTCAATTGTAAGCAAAGAAGCTTTTCTGTACCAAAGACTCTGTAAAAATGAATTTGTTTGCCTTTGTCTTTTGTATCAGATTAGGGTGAGTGTTTACAACGCACTGTAAAAAAAATCATAAATTAGCAGTTGTTCATATTTTGTGATAATTTTCCCATTTATTTATACTCTTAAAATGCATTATGGGACACTGATCTTTCTTCCAACAACTTTTAACCTTAAAAAGTTTGAAAAACTGACTTTTATTAACATTTTTAATAGTTTATTTTGGTGATATTTTGGTCTGAGTTTGTGTTAATGTTATGGTACAAATACCTTGTAATAAAGTACTAGTACATTTTGATTTTTTTTTTTTTTTGCAGACTTGTTTCTCTCTATTATTTCTTATACATTATATTATATACTAAAATGTCTATAAAAGTCACTTTGCTAAACTGTAGAGATGAATTTACAACATCAAAAGCCACTTCATCGCCATATCACTCTGCAGCCCAAGACTGGTTACTCACTGTAGTTAAACAGGGCTGAGCCTGATCAGTACCTGGATGAGAGACCACATGGGAAAGCTAGTTTGCTGCCGGAAGTGGTGTTAGTAAGGCCAGCAGGGGGGGCGCCCAAAGTGCGGTCTGTGTGGGTCCTAACACCCCAGTATAGTGATGGGGACTCTATACTGCTCACTGCTAAACGTCTTTCGGATGCGACGTTAAACCGAGGTCCTGACTCTCCGTAGTCGTTAAAAAATCCAGGATGTCCTTTGAAAAAGAGTAGGGGTTTAACCCTGGCATTCTGGCCTAATCTGCCCACTGGCCTCTGTCTTTCATGCCCCCCTAACCTAAACAAAGATTACTTCAATAGGGAATGTACATTTAAAACAGTGATGTGAACACATGTGGCAGACAGCCTGATATGATGCATGAAAGTCCACAATCTTTAAATGTCAGTGAAGAATTCTGCTTCAGCCATGACTAAAGGTCAGTTTGGACACAAGACTTCTCTAATGTGGAATCTGTGCAAGCAGTCAAATAAAATTTGCTTTGGTACGTTCCTCCAGTCATTCTAAGTTTGCACCCACACTGCGGAATATTTACCATGACGGAGAGAAACTGATCCACTTTAATATGAGAACAAACATGGATCTAACAGAATTGTAGCTTCTATGAAACAATCAATTTCTGCTTCAACATTGAAACTTACACTTGTGTGATGTGCGTGAAGCCTACGAAATGACAGCAGGACATTCTTTATGCAGGAAAAGCACTAAAATAACACACCAGTCTTCCAGTCTTCCTTATCCATGGCTGTACTCTGATGATATACACTGATAATGTGCCATTACTTCTCTCCCCAGAGATACTGAATTCATGATTTACAAGGATGGGAACATGGAAGAAAACAGAAAAAGGCGAAAGAGTGTTTTTTTGCATTTCATTATGCTCTCTCAAGCTTGCGAAAATATGTCAATTAACCAAACCATGTGAGGAAGTGAGTGCGTAAATGTGCCTTTTTGCCTGCAGGGACAGCACTTTTGCACTTCCGTTAAGGTTGATACATAAATTTATTAGCAGATGCACACATTATGTGGGACATTGATCTGGTTCATAAATATTAACCAGGTCATATGGAACATCAATTCATCCATATTCACACACACCCATATAAAATATACTCACACAAACCAAATGCACACACATACATTAGCAGCACACATGTAAACTTTTGAACCACTGTTATTATTAATAGTAATGTTTATGCATTCCAATTAAATGAGTTGCAAATCCAGTAGTGTAATAGAAAGAAAACAAACACATGTAATGTCTTGCCTTCTGTTTTTGCTGAGTAATTGGCCAACGCATTGAAAGATGGTGTTTCAAATAATAGCAGTGTTGATTTTAATGAGAGAAGGAATTAATTCTGAAGAAAACAGATGTCATTTCTGAAGTTTAATTCATGGGATAATTCAAATTAAAACTATTTAATTACATCAGTTTAAAATAATTTAGCTTTATAGTACCACTTTCCTTTATAACATCATTAAATTTTGTGGAAATGTGTGTGTGTGTGTGTGTGTGTGTGTGTGTGTGTGTGTGTGTGTGTGTGTGTGTGTGCGCGTGTGTTTAATGCCACTAATCCAGCAAATTCTTGGAACTGCAGTGATCAGCTCGTTGTATTAACCTGGCACCTTGTTAGAAAGGCTTGGTTTCCTAGCAGAACTGATAAGCAGAGTCTGTGATCTTACTTGTGGCCATTGTGTAAATCCAGACAAATCAATATTTACAGGCTGCAGGTCTGTTGTCGTCTCAGATGTTGTTTTTAATTGAACCATCTTTCAAAAAACAGCCTTTTTGCAGAATATAAAACCCATCGCACTGTGGATGTTGTGCAGTTGTGCATAAATGCAGGACAGCATCAGGGAAAACTAAAATAAAACAAATATATACACATTCAATTGATAACTTTTAACTGAAAGCAAAAATCATTTTTAAAGGGCATCTATGATGAAAATCATCTTTTGTAAGCTGTTAGGACAGCTACACAACCGTGTGTAGGTCATACTGGAGTGATTTAAAGACAATAAGTCTTTTTCTTTAATTTCCTGATCTCCCATTTTCAGGCCCACTGCAACCTGATGTAGGAGTGTGGTTTCCTCACCTACCGAATTGATTGACAGCCTCGTATTAACATGTAACGCGTATAATCATATTAACAAGACATGACATGCACAGCAACTGGAATTAAAAGATCTGTTCAGCGCTTTGTCATCATCAGTCATCATTAAATGTAATCAGGGCCGGAGCAAACTGAACTGCTGCTCTAGGCAAAGGACGGTCGCACCGCCCTCAACTCTAAAGTGAAAGCACGGGGTATTATACCTCACTAGACGCGGATATAACTGAGGGCGCGGGTGGTGAGGGTAGTGTCACGGATGATGCCCTCTCTATTCTGTTTCCCTACGCGGATATAGGGCGGGGTGGTGAGGGTAGTGTCGGGGACGCCGCCCTCTCTATTCGGCCGCCCTACGCGGATATAGGGCGTGGGTTGTGAGGGTAGTGTCTGGGACGCCGCCCTCTCTATTCTGCCGCCCTAGGCGTCCGCCTAGGTCGCCTCTATGGACGCGCTGGCCTTTTTTTCCCTGTGTGTGTGTGTGTGACTCATCATTGCAGCTTTACAACTAATACATCAAATAATCACTGGGAAAGTTCTTGGTGAGATCTGCTTCCTTCATGTCTGTCACTGTGCTGTTTATCTGATGCAGCCAGGGCAGAGATGAGATTGAGGCACACTTTGACAGACATGTGGGAACGGTGGGCGGGGAGAACTA